CAGTGGCCTACTCTGTACCAAGCTCTGTGACAGGCACTGAAGACAAAGCCCCGAGGAAGTAGCATCGTCCCCTTAAGAACACCCCCCGCCCCACAGAATCATTCTGGATCAGCATGTGCCATCAGGAGAGCCAGCCCTGGCAAGCAGTGAGGGCTATGGCAGACCAGGAAGAAAGGCCGGGCAATCAGCCCGTGCAAACCCCCATGGCTAACAACAGTCCAGTCCGTGGCCAGTGCTGCCTGGACCGGGCAGTGTCTTCACTCCACTGTGCATGGAGGCAGGCAGGGAGGGGGCACAGCCTGGACCTCGCTGACCACCACCACCGATTAAATGGGAAGAAGGAAGCCAAACTTGCAGACAGCGATGGCACTGGGAGCAAGGCGTGGCTCTGAGTCTGAAAGTCCCGCCCAGATGCGGACAGGGGGCTGGAAGGGGGTGTGGTGCACACAGGAGCGGGGCAGGCCGGGGCGTTGTAACCAATACTGATTGCTCACCCAGAAATGCCTCAGGAGGACTTGGGGGCTCCAGCAGCAGGGATCTGAACACACAAACATAAAACAAAACGATGGCTGCTCTCCAGGGCAGGGGAGGGGGCGAGTTGCTGTGGCAACCAGGGCTTGTGCTTAAGCCGGCCAAGAAGATGCTGAGGATGCGCTGGGAGGCGGGAGGCGGGCACCGGGAGACAAAGGGGCCCATTAGACCCGTCTTCAGGAGGAGAAACAAAGGCAGGCAGCCAGGAGGCGGTGCCTGACCCTCCGCAGGACAGGTCCAGGCGGTTTTCCTAATTCTGGGGTTGTTTAAACACAGTGACTGGTTCCAGGAAACTGCTCTGTTCTGGCTTATGTTTAAAATTAGACACTGATTCCCAGAGGGGCAGAATGCATGCCGTCCGGGAGCCAGCTCCAGCGGCTGAGCCAGCCGGACTCTCTGGGGGCAAAGGATGACCCGAGGGGCTGGGGGCCAGTCTGCAGAGAGGCAGCACCGAAGGCCAGGCCCTCTACGACTGAAAATCCAGCCGATGGACTGGGTGCCACGGGGCTCCCTTGAGCTGGGGGGATTCAGCGGGAACTGGCCAGTCGGCCGGCCACTTGGCCTCTGGAGTGGTCTTTGAGCCCCAGGGGGTTGTCCCTATGCTGGCGAAGGCCCCCCTAGAGGAGGTTGGGAAGGAATCAGGCGAGCATCAAACACGTATGAGGACCCCTTAACTGAGCATGCTCCAATTCAAGCCCCCGCTGTCTCTCAAAGGAGGGACCTGGTGGTGCAGCGGTTAACGCTGACCAGAAGGGCCATGGTCAGAACCCATGGGGACTCCCTGGGAGTAAAGACCCCCCATGGGGCAGTTCTTCTCTGAGAATTCCCAGGAGCTGGAATTCTGAACAGCAATGGGCTTGGTCTGGGGGTTCACTCAGAACCCACTACTGATGGAGCTGTGGCTCAGAACTCCCCCGGGGCTGGGGTGCCCCATCCACAGGGTACAGAGAATCGCCGGGGGATGCGACGCCTTGCGCTAACCTGCAGGGAAACCCTGCTGTACCTGCGAGGGAATCCGCAGACACGCTTACTCCAGACGTGGACAACGGGCAACCATCCCTCCGCTCAGGGCGAAGCCCACCTCCTGCACCTCCCACTGCCTGCCCCGCAGGCAGACACAAAGACAGGAGCCCAGCGTCTGTCAGAGCTGCGAACCCCGTGATTCAGAAGGGTTCCTCATGGGATCACCCTGAAAACACCCGGTGACCCCCGCGGAGCACGGGCCCACGTCAGGGCCCACGTCAGACACAAAGGGAAAACTGAATCTCCGGGAGGTGAGGTTCCTTATCTGAGGTCATGGAGCTCGGACCTGCCCCTGGGCCCCCGAGACCCCATAGCGCAGATTCACAGACCCCCTGAGGACCACCAGGGTGCTGATGGAGGCCGAAGCCATGGGCTACCAACCTCGGCCACACTGAAGGGTCCCCTCCTCTGCACTGAGTCGGGCCAAGTTCCTTCCCTGCCAGCCCGTTTCACGGATGGAAAACTGAGGCCCGAGGAATCAACACTGGGTGGCAGCCAAGCCACCTGCCCACACGCTCTGCCCCCCAACCCAGCCAGCATCCCACACTGGCCTGAGGGTCGGCCTCGGCCAGGGGCAGGGGGCATCCCACCACAGGCCATGGGAGGCCCAGGAAATCGCCGACAGCAGCTAACCTCCCGAGGCCGTGCAACGTCAGACTGAACCCAGCAGGCTCATCTTTTAAACGATCGTCTGTGCGGCCCGTGAATGACGGCATCGACATCCAATGGCGCCTGGCAGAATCAAGGTGCCCAGCCCGCTCTGCGGGCACAGCAGGGACCACAAAGCCGGGAGGGTTGGTGGCTGGAGGCTCTCAGGCCTGTGACCCAAGCGAGGGCCAGTGCTGGGGACCCACACTGCCACACAAGACGACCCCAGCACCACATTCCGTTTTGGAAATCTCTGGCCGTCTGGCCACACTGGGTCCTCCTCTCTGCATGGGCACGTCCAGAAGGGGTGGGGGTGGGTGGGCAGGTGTCAGGGACCACTCTCATTTCTACTTGGCCCTCACCTGGCTCCTCTTAAGCAGGGCTGGTTCTCAGGGGGGACCCTACATCTCCTTCCCAGGATAGACCGGGCAGCACCTCAGGATACCTGGGGGTGTCACCTGGAGCATGCTGTCCTGTTGATAAGGACGCCCGCCCCACCTCAGAGACGCCAAGGGGGTGGGCGGGGGACACCAGGACTGGCCCGGGCTCCGTCCGTCCGTCCATCTCACTCACTTGGCGAGCTTCGTCTCGATCTGCTGCCGGATCTCCTGGCGCTCCTCGTCCGTCCTCCGGGGCAGCACGTTGCGGTCCTCCAGCTCCTGCTTGCTTGGCCGGTTCCTCAGCTTCACCGCCAGCAGCTCCTTCTTGCATTTCCTGGGCAGGGTCCCTGTGGGCAGCAGTCGCCGGCCAGGGGGAAAGCGAGACAGGCCTTAGCCCAGCGGTGCTGGAGCAGCGTGGCCGAGCCCAAGCCGAGCGCACACACGACCCTCAGTTCAACCTGTGGCCTGGTGCTCCCCCACCATCACTGACCCCCGGGCAGCCAGGGCAACCCTGGTGGACACCTGTGGCCCCTGGTGGCCTGACCCCTCCCTCGGTGTCAGTTTGAACCAGAGAGACCCAGTCACTTTCCCTATGATGGCCCCTTGGCCACCCCTCACCCAGGGCCACTCTCCTCACTGCCCGTCACACCCCAGCCACCAAGCGGGTACCTTGTTCCTCCAACATCCACCTCAGGGCCTCTGCCTACCACCCTGCTCTGCCTGGACCACTGTGAGGAGCTGAACTGTGGCCCTCCAAATCATGTGCTATACAGCCTGACCCATGTGCTATACAGCCTGACCCAGCGGTTACACGCTGGGATGCTGCCCACAAAGTGGGCAGTTTGGAGGCTACACGCTGGAAAGCTGATCACGAGGTAGGCAGTTTGGAGGTTACGCACTGGGATGCTGACCACGAGGTGGGCAGTTTGGAGGTTACACACTGGGAGACTGACCACAAGGTGGGCAGTTTGGAAACCACTAACTAATCTTCGGGAGCAAGACGAGGCTTGTGACTCCCAGGAAGAGTTACCATCTCGGAAACTGACAGGGGCAGCCCCTCTGTCCAACAGGGGCACTGGGAGTCGGGGCAAGCTCCAGGACAGGGCACGCAAGTGGCCTCTGGCACGGGGGCCATCTGTGCTGTGGGGAGAGGCCTGGCATGGGTGGGCCTCAGTCCATCGCTCTCTAGGTGGAAGAGAGAGTCAACAGGCGAGCCAGGGAGCAGAGGCTGAGGAAGAGGGGCCAGGCCGCACAGCGTTCTCCAAGGACTGGGGCTGAATGGCCAGGGCCTTCCCTCAGCCTGGACCCCCTCAGCTTCCTGAACTGAGACAACCCCTCTCTCTTTGCTACAGCTGCCCGCTTCTGTTCTGGCAGCACTGGAGAACCGGGACACCCCACAGGACCGGCTCCCCCCGTTACACAGCTCAACTCTGACCCTTCAAGGGCCTCCGTTCTCCATCCCCCGAAGGTCCTGCTGCCCTATCGGACAGTGGCTGAGAGTTATCATCTGTCTCCTCCCTGGGACTCAAGTTCCTTGAGACCTGGCCACTCACCCCAGCTCCTACGTGGGACCGGCAGGGGTGGGCACCCGTGTAGTGAAGTGTGGCCTTGGTGGAGAACACTGGCCACACCACAGACTGCTGGGGGGACAAACCAGTCAGACATGACGACGTCCAACGGGGTGGAGAGGCCTCTAAGTCCCTGACTCGGACGCACGAGGAGGGGACCTCTTGTTGGAGTCCATCATGGTCAGCAGGACGAGGGAAAGCCCCACGAGAGAGGCTGGTCCAAGGGCCCCACGTGGGGCTCAAACGCAGGCGGACGGGGAAGAAGGTCACTGTGAGTTGGCGCCAACTCTGAATCTCTCGTCACCAATGCTGGCGACCATGGGGAGTGGGGGGCCAGCTGGGCTGGGGGCCCCAGGGAAGCCAAGGATTCACCAAACGTTTATAGGAGAGATGCCGTGGCGCTAAGCTGTGCTGGCAGACGGGCCTTCTGAGAGTGCCCTCTGCCCCAGGAGCTGAAGGCCAGGACAAGTGAAGGGCTCTTGTCAGGGGTCTGCAAGTGTGCACATGGACTGGGCTCCAGGGTCAAATCCCAAGGGCGCCAGCTGCCCCCTGCCCCGTCATTGCTACAGGTAGACCTCGGTTTCTGGAGGAAAACACCTCCCCTGGGAGTCAGCGCCGAGCAGGGGCGGTGGGAGAGCCAAGCCCGACCAGCAGTCAGCCATCGCACGGATGTCTGGACAAGCCTCCGACGAGTGGGTGCTGCATCCCCTGGGCCCTCGGGAGGGGAAACTGCAGGCGGCCATCGGTTCAGCAGGCGCTTGCTCACTTGGCTGGTCTGGTCCCGTGGGGAGCCTAGTGATTGAGCAGGGCTGGAGGGAGCGCGTGCATTTTCCCATTCGCCACGCCTGGGTTTCGCTGGGGCCACGGGGAGTTATCGGTGCCTTTGTGAGACCCAGGGAATCTCAAAGGTCTCTGGACAAACCCTCTTGAATGTCCCAATTCAAGGTCAAGGCGAGGAGGGGCCAGCATCATGGGAGCTGACCACGCCATGTTTGGGCCCTCCGGCACGGTGCGGCCTAACGTCCATTACAAAGAGGGACAAGGGGCCACCACCACTGTGAGGAGGACTGGCTGGTGTCTCCCTCGTGGACTGCAGGCCCGTGCTGAGTCAGCACCGGCTCTGTGGCGCCTCACAAGCTTCAGCTCCCACGTTGACCATCTGCTCCTGACTGACAAACGGGGCCCACGGGGCCCCAATGTGGACCACAACTCACTCAGGCTGCTCGCTGAACCAGTCCCTGTACACGTGGCACAGACGGACGGAAGGACCC